AACACTGGAGAAGACAGAATGCGAAGGGATGACAAAAGAGAGTATAGTTGGCAGTTCTGAAAATGAGATCCTTAAAGTGTGGGATTCTCTGCCAAATAATTTTAAGTCAATGAAAGCACTTGGGATTGCTCTTCTCATTTTGTTTGGGTCATTTTATGCTTGTGAGCAGCTGTTTTCAACTTTGAATTATATCAAATCTGATACCAAAAACAGACGGACAGATGACCCGAATATCAAATCTGATACCAGAAACAGACTGATGACCCAAGTGCTGCATATATTGCTCTCAAACTAAAGGCGTATGAGCCAAAGTTTGACAAATTATCAGCATGCATACAACATCAAAAATCACATTAATTGTGCAAAAGCCTGCCAAATTCGCATACAACCCTAATGCAGTGTTTGCAATCCAAGATACTAGTTTAGGAGTTGTTTAAAGTGTGTTAAGCAAGTTTAGTTTTCTTGTTTATCTTGCTCATATTAATACAGGTTGACTTCTACTTTCACTAATCCAACACCTGTAGAAGCAGGGAGAAGACCTGCAGTAAGGCTTGCCCCATACAATTTCAGTCTGGCAAGTAATCATATTACAAGTCGAGTATCTCTTATCCAAAAATGCATACACAGAATTATTTTAAAAGTTTGTATAAATTGCCTGGCTTCAGGCCATGTGTACAAAGTATTACTTTAATAATGGTTTTCTGTTTACTAGGATTGAATGGTTTTTTTCAATAAATAAAGTGTTTGTACCATTGAAAGCTCTGATATTTATTTTAAGAGAAAAGGTGTTGATTAGTTCAGACAACTGACCAGAGCAAAATGAACAGCTAGTGTTGTCGAAGAGCTGTAGTTAACGCAAGAAAAATATCTGTCCAGATGAGCAGTTGGAAGTGCCAAGGTGCTGCTGCCCCCCCCAACCTTGACACCAGAGACAAGAGGAGGAAAGTCAAATGAGGAGAGTCCAAGGAAGACCTAAATGGGCTTCTAGAGGGGGAAAATAATGGGTCCACTGAGAGGGGTTTGAAGGAGTTTGATGAAAATGTGGTGACAGGGTTGAATTCAACAAGGATGGGGTCTCCAGGTCCAAAGAACTAAGAAGTCTCATTGCACCCTAATGTCTGCCTTCTTGGCCTGCAGCCTCTATCATTAAATACAGCAAGAAGTGAGTTGGGAAACCTTGAGCTTAGACTACATGTCCCAGAATTCCCCATTTGGCATGGCTGGTGCAAAACTCTGAGTTTTCCAGACCATGATAGAGTGTGAATTCAAATGGGAGACTGGTATTAGGGATGGGACTTACATTTTAAATGAAACCGGGGAGGGGGGGAATGAAAAGAGGCTCCTACTTCTGGGTTTGGGTTCTTTCATTGACTCCTGAAAGAGAGCCTCTTAAACATGAGGGATTCACATAAAGAACAGGAACGAGAAAATTGAGCGTTTTTCCGTGTTATCCTCTTTCATTTTCCAAATAGCCTAGGAAATTTTCCTTGCCCTGCCATGGCTGCCATGTGTGTCCTTGCAATGCAAGCTGAATTCCATTCCCCTGCTTCTCCTTGCCTCACTACCATAGCCGCTGCTAACATGATAAACAAAATGAATTTTCTTGTTGTTATGGGCCATTGAGTCACCCCTGACTTCTGACAACCTCAGGAAAGAGCAATCTCCAAAATGTCCTGTCCTCAAGTGACCTGCTCAGCTCTTGCAAACTTTAGGGCAGGGGTCTCAAACTCAATTTACCTGGGGACCGCTGGAGGCAGAGTGTGAGTGAGGCTGGGATGCATCAGATTTTCCGCCAAGCAAAGCAAGAGCCCAAGGAAGCCACCCAGGAGTTTCCTTAACCCGGCTGGGGCTCAGAGGAGGAGGAGGGACGCGTGAGCCCTCATTGCCAGTCATGATGCCCTTGTGCTCCTTCTTCACTACCACCACCACCAGCAGCAGCAGGATGAAGAAACAGAGAAGGGAGGGAGCGCCGGCGACCGCATAGCGGGGGGAGGAGGGCACAACATATTTTTTTAAAAAAAATCCCTCACATAATCACCTTGCCAAAGGAGAAAAGCCCCCATCGGTACCCGCAAAATTAAACAGAATGTGATGGGGCCCCCACAGGTGCACGCACGAACGCGCGCGCACACCCACGGAGGTCCAGCAACCTTCCTCTGAGGGGCCCCCTCAAAAAAATGTGCACTCTGCAGCAGCAGCTACCACCATGACAGAGGAGCAAACTTTGCAACGTGAGCTCAGGCAGCCTCCAGAGCTGAGGCTACTGAAGCAGGAGGAAGAGGAGGAAGAGGAGAAGGAAGCACCGCTGGGCGCTGAGGCAGCCGCTGGCCAGGCTGGTGCTGGGGGTGCCAAGAGAGAAAGAGAGCCAGAGAGCTGCTTCCCTGGAAGAGGCGGTGGCAGCTGCTGTTGGCGGCTTGGAGGTGCTCTTCGAGGA